AGGGATGTGGGATTGAGGCAGAGAGAGGCGGTGGAACTGGGGGCTTTCCTGCACCCCACTGTCCCGGCAGTTCCTAGCAGGCTGGCTCCTTCCTGCCCAGTGGGATGAAGCCTCGGCCCAGGAGGGGAGTGGGAGAACCAGCGTGGGTCTAGAGGAGAAACAAGAGTCTGGGTAGTCTAGGCTCGGACTGCCTGCCGCCCCACTCTATCCCGCTCTGTTCATTGAAGCTCCCCAGGGCCCCAAAGTGACACAGAGACAGTCTCGGCCTGGCCACCAGCCACTGGCTGCCGAATTAGATCTGGGTAGACTGTCTCTGAAAAGCCGAATAACTCACGTACCAAGAAATACAACCTCAACAGAAAAGACAGGATAAAATACCCCACAAAGCAATGTGAAGAGAAAAGAAAACAAAACAAAAGGAGGAAAAGGAAATAAATGTAAAATAAATTACCAGCCCTCCTCATACTCAAAGCATCTCCTTTGCATGACTCACAGTCTTCTCTCCTTTTATCTTTATTGACTCCGCATGAATCTGAATTTAGAGTTCAGGTCTGAGGAACGAACTAAACGACTCCCTTTCCCCCTTGGAATTGTCCTCAGGTCCTATGGACTAGCGTCCTTCCAATGACACTGATCTCTGACACTTGGGCTGGCCTTCAGTATCCCCACCCCAAACCCATACTCTTCTTATTTAAAGAAACCGGTCTGGATTCTTCTCAGCCCCAAAGAACCTGCCAGACCACCTTGGAGCAGAAGGAAATGTTTCCCAACATATGAGGGAAACAAGCACCACGAAGGGGAGACTAGGAAGGCGAGGAAAGTCCCCTGAAATCATGACCTCCCTGACTTCCTTAGACATCGGAAGCATAGGGCCTTGGAAGGGATCTCCCCTTCCCTCTTTTCTATAAGAGATATCAGGGAGACAAAGATGGGAAAGAAGAACCCGAGGTCTTACAAACCCGTCAAGAGGTAGTCTGACTAGCCACGGGAATCCGAAGAAATTGTAGCTGCCTGCCTGACAGCCGATGGTAGAAGTCAACATTGTGAGTCTAGGGAAAATGTGGTACCGGCAGGGAACTGAGGGCAAGGGCCAGCATTGGTTCAAGGACTGGGGTGAATTTGCCCTTCATTCGATTGTTCGTTTTCTTGCGTTATAACACCCTCCTTTTTCCTGTATGTGAGTGGAAGAAGAGGAAGGGTAGAGAAGGTTATGGGGACATTGTCCCCCCTTCTCCCTCTGGAAAAAAAATCAGTTTATTCCCTCAGCCTATCTCACTCTCCTGGCTCTGACATAAGAGAAACTTTGCTAGGTGGGGGTGGGGGGTGGGAGTAAGGCAGAATCCCCTGGAGTAATTTTCTGGGAGGTGAAATAAATGAGCACTTTGGAACTTTCTGGCTGCCCTCACTCCCTAGCCCCAGAACTGGAGACAGACACAGAGGGGCCATCCGCCAGGCCAGGGGCTGCTCTGGGAATTGCCTATGGACTGGATGGGAGGGGACATAGGAAGAGCTTCCCGGTCTCTCTCCAGATGGCCCAGTCCCAGGGCCAGGCTCCCAGGCGGAGCTCTGGAGCCAGAAAGAGAAGGCCAGGCCATTCCATGGGCATATTTGCCAATCAACGCCTCAGTGACCTCGGCTTCCTTAGCCATGTGCTTCTCCTCCCCTTCCCACCCCAAGTCCGAGGGGTTGGGGCTGGAGTGAAAGGAAAGGTTTTATTAATTTTTTATTATCATTATTGTCAACAAGCAAAGATCAAATTTAAATAGGGAGATTTTAGTTAACTTTGGGGACTAATTTTTAGGGAAGATAGCAAGCAACCCCTCCCCCTCCCCAAGCACTGCTTCAGGCAATCCCATAGTTTCATGGGGACAAACTCCTTTGACTTTTTTTCTTTCTTTTCTGTCTCAAGGAAATGGAGCCGACAGCAGCTCCCTCCCGTCGCTGGTCTCACTTTTATGGTGGCCCTGGAATAAACTTTGGTGGTCAAATTCAAGTGCTAAGGCTGCACAGCTGTCTCCTCACAGGAAGGTGGCAACTCCCCCCACCCCCCAAACACACACACTTTTACCCTGAGTGTTCACAGCTATTTACTTCTTAGGCTATTGATCCTTAACTCTCCCCACCTCACCCCCCACTCATACACACACCAGTCCACCCCCACCCAACCCCTCCAGACTAGGGTCCCTAGGATTGGGAAAAAAGTTAGACTAGGGGAAGGAGAGAGAGGCATAGCCTTGACCTATAAGGACAACTCCCTTTGTCTCTCTCAAGTTCCATATTCCTAGAAAAAGAGTAGTGTCTCTACTCTTTTTCCTTACCCAGGTCCTATCCCCAAGTGGGGCTCTTCTGGCCTCCCATAGATAACAACAGAGTGGGGTCCTAGTGGACACTATAAAAGCTACAATCCATACTTCTCTAACACGATAATTAAAAGCTCTGGCCCAAATCTCCCTATAAACGGGCAGAGCGGAAAGCAGACAACCAATATTTTGGCTAGCTTCCGAGCTGTCTCTGACCTGTTCTTTCTTCTGAGGATTCCCTCATATCACCAATTCTATTATATAATTCATGTGTGTGTGTGTGTGTGTGTGTGTGTGTATGTGTGTGTGTGCACGCGCGCGCACACATATATATACACACCGACATACATACACATAAATGTGTATACATATATCTACAGTGAATATGAAAGTTCTCCCTTTCAGCATATATTAGAAACTAAGGGAAAATGGAATGAAAGGAACATAGGGGAATGGGAAAGGAGTTGAAGGAAGTTGGGATTCTGAATCTTGAGTTATCCCTGGCTTAGAGAGCTTATTAGGATATTAGCAAAAACAATAGAATGCTGGCGTCTGCTGCAGCTTGCCCAGCCGAAAGGCTGGGACAGAGACCACCGCTGGCTCCAGATGTTGCCTTTAATGGAAGACAAGTTGGGATTTTTTAAAATTTTGGTTTTTGGGTGTGTGTGTTTTTTTTTAAGCACCCGTAGGCAGCAGCCCAGTCGGTCTCCAAAGAGACTGGGCTAAGGGATTCCTAGACAGAAGCTAGAGAAGTTCCCCTGGCTATGGTCCCCAATAAGTCCTGGATGGGCAAAGGAAAACAAAACCTTGGGGAATGAAATAAAAATGAAAATAGAAGTTGCCTAAATAGAAACTCCAGATAGAAACGACCACAGCACAGTCAGCTTTTCCTCCAGAAAGAGAAGCTAGTAAACCTCTCCAGCAGTTAGGTCTGAATTAATTTTAGGGGTATTGCCATCTCTTTTCTTCAGGGGAAAAAAATGGAGAACACTGTTGGAAAAGTCTCATTTGCCATTCATGCCCTTGTAGTCCCAAGCCGTGTTCTCTCCTCCCCACCAAGTGCACGGCTGACATTCTCTCAAATAAACTTCTTTTTTCCTGCTCAGTTGTGTCTGGTGTGATCAGACAGAGTGCAAGTGGGAGAAGGATTGGGGTAGGGGAAGGTCCCCCATTATAGGACTCTAATGAAGTTGTTGGCCCTTCCAGAGGGGACCAAAAATCAACGAGATGAGGGAGAAAGAACTCTGCCTGCCTGGGAATGAGGGAAGAAAAAAAAACCAACCCTGTCCCCAAACCTTTCCCAACCCAGCAGCTCCTCCGAGGAAACGGGATGCGGGTCTGCAGCTGTCACCACTCCTGCCTTGAGAGATGGAAATTTTCCCCAAACGTGAGACCCGCCTACTCTAATGGAGTTGGGGGCCCCACCAGTTTAGATCAGCAGCTCTGAACAACCCCTGACCAGCCTTGAAGCCTCCCCATCATTTCCAGGAAGAGGGAATTGGAGGGGGGGAGAACGCTAAAACTGGAGAAATGCTCCCATTACCCCAGTATTTGCCCGCAGCCCCGTCTGGGTATGGGCGGTGGGTCCAGAAAGGGGGTAAGGAATTGGCAGTGGATATGTGCAGGAGCCAGACCCAGAAAGGCAGGAGGATGGGAGGGAAATATAAGACAAATGGTTTGGATCGGTCTTTTTCTTTGGGGTTTGGGGGTTTGAATCCACAGTGGATCTAGATTTCTCGGCATTGATTGACAATAAAGGCGGGTATGAAATATTCACCAGGGCCACTCTCTCTCACTAAATATTTAACACAACATTAGAAGAGGTTTTTCCCAGACTTAGCTAGGCACCGGCTGGACTCGTTGGCTCGCCCCTCTGATAGATGACTAATTCCATAGCCCAAAGCGGTCGAGAAGAGAGCAGAGGAGTGAGAGAAAGTTAGGATACTCAGAGCTGGGCTCCAGGACCTTTGGGAAACTTCTATCACCTTGCTGTCCACCCAAAGAGAAATGAAAGGGCTCCCCCCACCCCCCCATCCTCGACCACAGATCCAGGAGCAAGAAGTTACCAAACTCTTTCCCAATCTGCCTAACAGGTTACTGTGTATAGTGGGGGTGAAGGGGTAAATCATTAAAACCCTAGAGGAGAAAGAAGAATAAATCCACTTCTACCCAGATGGAATGGGGTAGAAATGAATGTCAACCCTCCCCTTCCACACACATACCTAGTCCCTGTCTAAATAGAATGAGAAGGAGCGAGACCCCTTCCCCATATGTGAGAACTTCCCTCCCCTTTCCCCAATCCTGGGGGGGAAGAGGTAGGGATAAGAAAATATAACTAGCCCCCCAAACTCCCCCTCTCCGCCCACCCCCACCCCACCTTCTCTCCCCTTTTGCTAGCTCCCTGGAATGGAGAGGAGGGGAGTGACGAGAGAACAGGAATACAAATCTGCAATTGATTTTCATAATGTTTCTGCGGTGTTCTCAAACCAATCGCCTGAACCTCCCCGGTCTTACCTAAGAGAGAACCCCTCCTACGTCTCTGAAGTGCTCCGAACTGATATATGACAATATCTACTTTGGATCACGTGCTCGGGGAGAGAGACTAAGACGGATAACGCGTCATCTCGCCTTCCCAAATTTTTCCCCCCTCGCTAGACTGGGTCCAAAACCTCCATCTAGAGCAGGCAGAAAAGGAGAACGATGTTTAACTCGGTTAACCTGGGTAACTTCTGCTCGCCGTCGCGCAAAGAGAGGGGCGCTGATTTCGGCGAAAGAGGGAGCTGCGCCTCCAATCTCTATCTGCCCAGCTGCACTTACTACGTGCCCGAGTTCTCTACCGTCTCTTCTTTCCTGCCCCAGGCCCCCTCTCGCCAAATCTCCTACCCTTACTCCACCCAAGTGCCCCCAGTCCGGGAGGTCTCCTATGGCCTGGAGACCTCGGGGAAATGGCATCACAGAAACAGCTACTCTTCCTGCTACGCTGCGGACGAGCTCATGCACAGGGAATGCCTCCCTCCTTCCACCGTGACCGAAATCCTCATGAAAAACGAAGGCTCCTACGGCAGCCATCACCACCCCAGCGCCCCCCACCCGGGCCCCGGCTTCTATTCGTCAGTCAACAAGAACAGCGTCCTGCCCCAAGCCTTCGACCGATTCTTCGACAATGCCTACTGTGGGAGCGACGGGCCGGCCGAGCCCCCATGTGTAGGCAAGGGAGAAGGCAAGGGGGAACCCGATCCCCCCCAGCCCGGGGTGCTAGCTCCCCGGCCCGAGTCCGGCGGAGACCCGGAGGACGAGGAGGAGAACACTAACCCCAGCTCATCCGGCTCGTCCCATTCAGCCAGCAAAGAGGCTAGCAAGGGAACCAGTTCCAGTAGGTAGCGAGTCTCCTAGCCAGTAAACTGGGGGAGGTTAAAGGCGGAGGGGGGAAGCAGGCGCGGGGTGTTGACTCGTGTTTTGGGTCGGTCTGATTTTATGTGGAGTTTTATAAGCATTCAAAGGATTTTATTATAACCTACAAAGCCCTCTCTCCCAACGACTCGACTTTTTACGATGGAGAAAGGGTGGGGAGTGAGGGAAAAGGGCTCTTTGGAAATGCTCTGTGAACCCCCCCCCCC